CTCTGGGTATTTACCCGAAGAAAATGAAACAATAACTCAAAAAGGTATATGCACCCCCATGTTCATTATAGTGTTATTTATAATAAGCAAAATATGGAAACAACTTAAGTGTCCATTGATAGGTGAATAAAGAAAATGTGGTATGTGTGTATATATATATATATATATATATATATATATATATATATATATACACACACACAATGTAATATTATTCAGCCAGGAGAAAGGAGGACTCTCGTTTGTGAAAACATGAAGAGACTTTGAGCATATTGTGCAAAATGAGATAAGTCAGACAGAGAAAGACAAGTACTGTAGGATATTACTCATATGTGGAATTTTAAAAAGCCAAACTTGTAAAAACAAAGAATAAAATGGTGGTTTCCAGGAGATGGGGAGGAAAAGAAAGATGTTGTCCTGTCAAATGTTGTGTCAAATACATTTCAATTAAAAAAAAACTGTGCTTAACACAGCTTGCAAGTATGTTCTTAGAAACATCTTTTAAAAATAATGAACTTTTAAAAATATTAAAAATAAATAAATAAAATTTAAAAAAATAATGAACTTTCAAAAATGTTTCCACTGTGAAATAAATAATTTAACTGGCAAAAACACCAAATTCATTGATCTCAGGAATGGAGAATGAGGTTTTCCTATACAAAGGATTCTGACAAACACAATAAAGGAGGGCTCTAGCAGCTTGACTTCATCTTTAAATGAATGAATTCAAAGTCAACACCAACAAACTGAAGACAGAATTAAACTTCATAGCATAATAAAGAAGATGGAGTACACTAACAAACAAGGTGGGGTGTATAGGGAGGCTGGGGAACTATGTAGTTAACACATCTGATGCTGCTTTTGTTAAAATATGCCTAGATGTTAAGTCCATCTCTAAAGTCCAAACAGTAACTCTTTGGCTCTTGTGACTAAGAGTGAGCTACAAATATTAATAAAGTTTCCCTAGAACTCTGTCTTTCAAAAGTATCCCAGTTACTCCATCTCTCTGGAGTTGTCACTGAACCTAAGCACTGCTTTGGGGCTCAAGCGATGTACACTCCCTTCTCAGTGAAGCTTCCTGTGCCACACCAGTACACCTTCTCCTCCACGGGGGCCTCATCACTGGGTCTCCCCTGTTCTCCATTCCTCAGGTGAGAAACCTCAATGTGATCTTGGACTTCTCCCTTTTATCCAGTCATTCCACAAGTCCTATTGATTCTTCTGTGAAATGTCTCTTACATCCATTCTTTCCCTTCCACCCCAATTCTGGTCCTTATCACATGAGGACAGTAACCCAGTCTCCTTGCTTTCAATCTCTTTCACATCCATACACACACACACACACAAATCCCATTAGATTAATCCTATCTAAAAACTGCTTTCATTTATTTCCCTGCTTAAAATTATTTTCCACTGTCAATACATGAGATAAAACTTATCAACTTGGCATTCATAAATCTCCACAATCTTTTTCTCAAATTCCCTGCACACTCCAACACAAATGGTCATTTATTTTAACCAAACTACTCTTCTGTTTCCAAAATACAACCTAAGCTTTCAACTTTTTCATGCCAGCTTCTTTTTCAACTCCCTACTACAAACTACCCAGTAAATCTTCCCCTAATATGGCGGAATGGAAACATTAGGGGCACTGCTATCAGACAGGCCTGAGTTCAAATCCTGACTCCACCACTGCCTAGCTGTAGATTAACAGATCAAGTTACTTAACCTCTCCACAGTCTCAGTTTTCTACCCATAAAATGATGAAATGCCACCTGCCCCACAGAGTTATTATAAGGGTAAAATTAGATAACACAGTGCCTAGCACATATTAATTTTCTTCCCTGAAAGCAGGGACCGCATCTTTTTTTTTTTTTTTTTGCGGTACGCAGGCCTCTCACTGTTGTGGCCTCTCCTGTTGTGGAGCACAGGCTCCTGACGCGCAGGCTCAGTGGCCATGGCTCACGGGCCCAGCCACTCCGCAGCATGTGGGATCTTCCCGGACCGGGGCACGAACCCGTGTCCCCTGCATCGGCAGGCGAACTCTCAGCCACTGCGCCACCAGGGAAGCCCGGGACTGCATCTTAAACTCTTTTAAATCTCCTCTGAATCCACCACTAAACCACACTTATATGTCCAATAAATCATTTATGATTGTTTGATAATCATTCATAGACTATCTAACCAGGGAGAAACATCATTTAGGAAGTGAAGCTAAAAAGCAGAGGAATCACTTGACCTCTGGGGTCTGCCAAGGTCAGTACTATCAAGCAAATTATGGTAATTTCTCTTTCTTGTATCCATCCTCCTAGGCCAAAACGAAGTAGCTATTTTTGTGTCTGGGAGCAATTTATATGGCACAAATATCGGAACACTGTGCCTGGCCACGGTAAGTGCTGAAATGTCTTTTGAATAATGAGAAATAAAAGTAGCAGATTTCCAGAGTTCCAAATATTTTAATGAAATTCTAGAAACAGCCATATCAGCATAACAATTTTCTTTTTTTTCTTTTCTTTTTATTTTCTTTTATTTTTTTTACATCTTTATTGGAGTATTATTGCTTTACAATGGTGTGTTAGTTTCTGCTTTATAACAAAGTGAATCAGTTATACATATACATATGTTTCCATATCTCTTCTCTCTTGCGTCTCCCTCCCTCCCACCCTCCCTAAACAATTTTCAATTAATATCTGCTCAAGTTATTTAAACACACACACACATGCACACACAAAGAGCGACCATGACAGAACTAACTCTAAAAGAATTAAAGAAAAATTTAACGATGGGGAAAGATTGTTATACCTTTTTTAGCTTCACAGAGCAGGGACAGAGTGGAGGGGATTAAGGGAAAGTGTAATTTATATGTTGCTGCTAAGCAAATCACTTCCGAAGCCTGACTTTAAACTACAGGCTCTTGCTCTGATTTTTCATTCAATCAAACATGTGAATTGGTATGCTATTGTAGTGGTATTTTTAAATGCTTGATTATTGGTATTCATATTTATTTCTTAGTCTAAGAGAACTGTCTACAAATAGTGAAAGAATTCAGAAAGCCTCAATAATTAATACCATTATTAAATTAACAATAAAATAACATGAAAAATTAATATCATTACAAGGCAGGACCTTTTAGAGAAGAACAGAGAGCAAGACTTTAGAAAAACTAATGTTTTACCAATGCAAACGTGGAAGATGCCAAATGGGGTAAATTCTTACTAGTTAAGACTAACCTTTGATAAATATTATAGCTGGGATTTTGTATAAAATATAAAAAGGATATTGTACAGTAATCATGGAAGAAGAACTTTAATAAAGAAGTACAAAATAATACAGTCAGTTCCTTAACCCATTATTTAACCACTGATGAAATTTTTATTGCATTAATCTCATTTTTCCAACAAAACGGACAAAATGAGGTTTCAATGAGGTTCCATCATTTGGCAAAAAGTTAACATCCTCCATCTTCTGCAATAAACACTGATTCATACACACAATCTATTTTTAAGGCTTTTAGGGATATGTACATAGAATGCATGAATGTAAAAGGATTCAGGGTGAAAATTAATGTCTTTTAAGAAATAAATTATTTTTTAAAATATACAGTTCAATATAATCACCTGTGACTGTTCTATTTCTGCTTTGTTTAACTTGATTCCAAGGATTTCAGCAGCAACTTTCTGAAAACATAGGAAGACCTACATAACAAAAACAGGTTTAAATGATTTAAAACAGGCATGTTTAAGTTACCTTCAAATAAATTGAACTTTCTAAAAAGTGATAAACAGCAAAAACTGCAAAAAATATGATGTACCAGGTTATTCCAAAAATAGCTTTATTTGTCAAATACAGCAACATTTTAAGTATAATAATTTTTTAAATGATTAAACCATAATTTGAAAAGCCATACACTTCACTGAACTGGTCTAAATATACGTTTATCCCTAAAAACTTATGCTTTTAAAGATTTAACATAAGACAATTAATTACAGCTACCAAATTAAAAAAAAAAAAACTACTAGCATAATAACAAACTCCTATAAGTCCTGAAGAAAATGAAAATAAATTAGTCTATACTTTACTACCTGGGTAAAGTTTCTCGCTGCCAGTTCTACAATAGTCTTTTGATCTGGCATTAGCCTATCTTCAAAGGTCTTACTTCACAACTCTTTAATAATCTTTGTGGTTCTCATCAATTTTAATAAATTCTCCATATCTCTTGAGCAAAAAACTTATAATCTTTACTGTATTTTATCAAACAGAAAATGAGCAGCATACTCCATTATCATTAAACAAAAATCTATAGACACGAATCAGTCACCGACTCTAATGCATAACTTGTCTTTGTTCTGTAAGTGCTCTATCATATTCTTATCCCTACTTATCTCATGATTACTTACTGAATATTTATCACAACTTTACTAATTTAACTTCGATCCCTAATCAAAAAGAGATACATATCCCCAAAAGGTTTATGTCATTTGTACCCCGAAGAGCATTATATATTATAGTTCACTGATGGTCAATGTTCAAGGAGAAATAAGAAAGCTAGTGCGGTGGAATGGAGAGAAAAAGGGGATTGTAAGAAGAAAACTAGCAGAGAGATTAAGAGTGTACAAATCATGTAAGATCTGGTAAACTATGTGAAGAACTTTGGCTTTCACTCTGAGTGAAATGGAGGGTGGATTGATGTGACTTCTATTTAACAAGGTCAACCTGGTTGTTGTATTGAGTATTCACTATAGAAGATCAAGGGTAAAAAAGAGAAATCATCAAGGACACTAATGTAAGAGATGATGGAGGCTTGAAACTAAGTGGTAGCAGTGGAGATGGTAAGAAACAGTCACCAGATTATGGATATATTTTGAAAGTAGAACCAACAGGACTTGGTGATAGATGTGGTATGTCAAAGAAAGACAGGAGTCAAAGATGACTCCAAAATTTTCTTGGTCTTAGCAACTGGTAGAAGATCTGCCATTTATTTAAGTGGGGAAGACTGTGAGAGATCTGAAGAGGGAATACCAAGAGCTCAGTTCTGGACCTGAATTAAATTGGGATTGGCTGTTAGACACCTAAACAGGAGTGCTGGGGTATATGAGTCTGGAGTTCAGGAAAGAGGTCTGGCCAAAGCCATGAGACTAGATGAGGTCACTAAGAGAGTAAGTTTAAAAAAGAGAGATATCCAAGGATTGAGCCTAGGGCACTTCAATATTTAGAAGTTGGAGAGATAAGAAATTAGCAAAGGTGACTAAGAGAGTAGTTAGCAAGGTAGGAGGGAAACCAGGAGGTGTAGTACTCTAGAATCTAAGTGAAGAAGGTATTTCAAAGAGCAGAGAGTGATCAACTATTTTATATGCTGCAACTAAATCAAGTAAGATAAGGACTAAGAACCGACCACTGAATTTAGCAAAAAGGAGGTCACTGGTAGACCTTAAAAGAGCATTTTGGGGTGAAATATTGGGGGCAAAAGTCTGACTGGAACTGCTCAAGACAAACTGGGAGGAGAGAACTGGAGACAACTCTTTCAAAACATTCCACTGGTAACTGGGGGGAAGTAAGCAATAGCTAAAGATGTGAGATCAAGAGTTTTCTTGTATTTAAGATAAGTCATAATATTTTGTGTGCTGATAGAATAATCCAGTAGATAGGAAAAAAATGATGCAGGAGTGAGAATTGCTAAGCAATGTTTGTTACTAGGCAAAGAGAAATGGGACTAATGCACAGTGGAGGAGTTGACCCTAGCTAGGAGTATAGATCCATAGTAACCTTGGAGGAGACAGAAGATACGGGAAGGGATATGGGGTGGGAAGGAGAGTTGAGGTAGATGTGGTGGCAGGAGTTATGTGAAAGTTGTCTTCTGTTTGTTGCAAATATTTTATAAAATAAGAAACAAGGGCATCAGCTGAAAGAATGGACAAGGAAGTTTTGAAGATCTGAGGAGAGAAGAGAAGCTACGAAACAGTGGTATAGGTGAGGGGGAGAGATAATGGCCTGAGGACATGCATAATTACTGAGCAGCATTAAGGGCCCACTTGAGGTTAGCTACTGTGAAATGTAAGTGAAACCTCCAGCATGCCTCTGGGTTTTTTCTCTGACCACGTTCAAATACAAGAGTGTAACCATATAAAGGCAGGGGCTTGGTTAAGGTTTATCCAAATGAGTCAGATAAAGTGAATGAGCAGAAAGGGACTTGACAGTATATGCATGGTAGTGATTTGATTGGCCATGAGATTAAGTTACAAAGAAAGGGAAATGAGGACATGAAAGGAGGACACTGAAAAAGTGTTAGGATCAATGTCTTGTAGGTCCTGCTGGGGTTGCAGACTGATTGGGTTAGGGCATTCAAGGGTGTGAGCCAGAAAGACAAGATGGTCAGTGATTAGGATGCCTGATATTGCAATATGAGATAACAGAAGGGCCGCAGTAATTTGTAATGACAATGCATGGGAGTTTGTGACTGAGGTGGGGTGGAAAACAAAGACACTGAAATCACTAAGAATTATGACAAAGGTAGTATTAGAGAAAGTACAGTAAGCCAGGAGCTCAGCTCCCTAAGCAATGAAGCGAAGTAAACTGGGATTGGAGATGACTGCAAGTCTTAAAGTGACTTCACAAGAACAAACCATTTCAAAGTTGAATTTAAAAAGAAAACAATGGGGATTTTTACAGGTGGTTCAACATAAGTGCACAAAAGATACTAAGTGGTTTAAACACAAGCTAAAATACTGGAAGTTAAAATAATTCTAAAATGACAAAAGACCCCAGGAAGATACATGAGGGTGAAAGCCTAATCCATGGATGGATTTATCAAGGAATATTGATATTATATATATTTTTAAATGACACATGTGGGTATGTGCCCGTGTTTACATTATCCTGGGGAAAGGGTTCCAAAATGTCACATTTTTAGATGAGTCTGACCCCCCCAAAAGATTAAATACCCTTTAAAATATTTAATATTTACCCTAAGCATAAAAACCATCAGTGAAATCATACAGGAAGAACATCAAAAAGATTAAACCACAGAAAAAAATTCAAACTTCCTTTGGTTGAAAATGTCAAGAAAATTAACGGTCAAACAAACACCTGGGCAGTGGAAAATATTTGCAAAAATTATGACAAATGGCTGTTATCCCTAACATAAAAATGGTCATAGGAAATTTTAAAAAGCAATAGAAAATTATAAACAGGTAATAAGCAGAAAATTAATAGGTAATGAAATTTTTAAAATTTCAACCTCAACAGCAAAGAAATTCAAATTTAAATAGCAAAATACCTTTTTTTCCTTGTCTACCAAATTGACAAAGATTTAAAAATAAATAAATTCTGAATGTTAAAAAGAGTACAGTGATATGGCACTCATACAATGCTGGTGGTAGTATAAATTAACGTAGGCTTCCTGGTGGTAATTTGGCAATAGGTCTCAATTCCCTTCCAAGAAAATAATCAAAACATCACAGCTTATGGACAAAATTTTACATTAGAAATTTTGCAAAATTTTACAATGTACTGAACTTAGAAATAATCTATATACCCAACGATAGGGACGTGGTTGGATAAATTTTTGAACATTTATTTAACGGATTATTAACTCTAACGGATTATTAAATCTATTTAGTAATATTAAGTGACATAAAATTTTCTACAGATAAATATATTAAATTAAAAAAACAAAATTATTTCTATATTATGATCTCAATTTTCTTTTTAATAAACATTTAGCATGATTAATATGGTGAACCCTGGAATGTCAATCCTTAGGTTTACAAATCCTATCTCCACCACTTATTCTGTGTACCCTGGACCCCCACAACATAACCTCTCTAAGACTATTCTATAAAATAGAGATAATCAGTTAGGATTGCTGGAAAATAAATCTAAATTATATGTGAAGATATTTTGGACTATTTCAAAAATATTTTAACATCATTCTAAGTTTCTTGTTTAAATGGTTATGGTGATTTACACAATAAACATCCAGTCAAATATGAAAAAATAAATTAATTTAATTAAATAGAGATAATCAGAGTAGTACAGTGCCCATCACAAAGTAGGCACTCAGTAAATGCAATTCACTAGCACTAGTGGCAGAAGCACTAATATTTGTGAGCATCAGAAAAATAAGACTAGAAGGAATCATACGAGGTTATGAATGGTCATCTCTGGATGCTGAGATTATGAGTGATTTATATTATTTTTAACTTTTGTATTTTTTAATTCCCTAAAATAACCATGAAATTATGTTAAATGAATTATAAGAGGAACATAAATAGAATAAACATGTTATATCTAACCTGATATTTTATGTCTTTAACAGGAATTAATTTGTTCCAAAAGTTAAGTAATAGAAGTATACTTCCTATGAAAATAAAAGTAAAACATCACTTGTAATATTCAGTATTCATTATTTTACTTACAGAGTCTCCTGTCTTTGCTGAGACAAAGTGGCTACTAAAACCATTTTCCTGGCAAAACCTTAAGTGTTTTTCAGGTTTTACTGTTCGCATATGCTCCAAATCAACTAGAAAAACAGAGAACAAAATTCAATATTAGTTAATCAATACATTTTTAACATGTTTAAGTTTGACTTATTTTCTAGTACTGTACCCCAGTTAGATATGAGCTGTGTAATTCTGGGCAATTTCTTCAACCTCTTTATGCCTCAGTCCCTAAATCTAAAAGCTGGGAATAACAAATGTATCTATCATATATAGAGTTCTTTGAGAATTAATCCATGTTTACTGCATAAGGACCAGCACATGATAAGTGCTCAAAAAACTGAAGGCTATCATTCCTATTATCTATATAGCTTCAGGCACATTGATGATACTCAAAAAAGATCTACTTAGTATAATGTGTTTAAACATAATGATTAATTGCAACATGCACTTACTCAAGCATATCTGGTTTGATAGTTTAATTACTTTAATAATTACAATAGTTCTGTAATCTCTATAAACGTTAATGTTAACACAAATGCATGACTAATTTTCTGCTAAAAGATACCTATATTTCATTGTATATTTACTTTATTTACAGCCATGGTTTAATTTCACAAAGATACAGCTCATTTGCTTTCCAAAACTAAAAGTATCCATTTTGAAAGTAGTAATGGGCCAGGATATATTTTCCTGAATAGTTGTAGGTGCTTTAAAGCAAAGCATAGTACTCATATCCAATACTGGTTTCATCCAGCACAGTCTAATTTTTTCAAATGTGATCTTTTATTGAACAGTTTCTCTTTTTACAACACTACAGACCCTATAAGGGTGTTCACTCAATGCTGTCAAATTATAAGGCAAATATATTCACAGGATTTAAGGACAACTAGGCTCTTTGAGTCAATATAGGAAAAAAAAACTTAAACTGATTTCCTGAGGAAGGGACCCAACCAACTTGTAAAAACTTGTAAATTTGCAAATCTAGTAAGCCTACATAATAGTGGCAATTGATTATCAACTAAAAATTGCTCTCATACTACATAAAAGGCTTTATTTAAAATTATATTGAAGGTCTTTAGTTTGTAAGCTCAAGAGATCTTTCTCTAGGAAATTTTTGATCTAGTGGGGGATTCCTTAGCCCCACTTATATTGCTTAGCTTGGATAATATGCAGCTTTTTTTCTTTTCTGGCCACAAGTTGCTATTCCTTAAACATCACTGAGACTTTATTTACAAGAAGAGGCCAAAAAATGTCCAGATACCACAGGCATCAATTTGTAGAAGACTAAAATACTAAGCTATTAGCTCTGACATTTATACATCTAGTTTATCATAATATTGAAGTTAAAATACTTTCCTAATTCAACAAGAGTAAGAACAAATCATGTCACTAGGAAAATTCCCCAATGAAATTACTGTCCAGTTAAAAAAAATAAAGTCTGTCATTCAACATGTGCATTTGTCTTTTCTAATGGAAGAGTCTATCATTGTGTCTTTTCTTCCTTTTTTCTTCTCTCCCTCCCCCTCAGCCCCACCCCACAACTCCTCAACTACTTATATAAACTACTATAAGCATTGGGGGATTTACGAGCCAAGCAAAAGTTTTTCTCCTAACAAAGATAACCATGAGAGACTAATACAATCACTGATCAATTGATAAAAAATTATTCAATAAACATTTATTGAGTACCTATTATATACCAAGCACTGTGGTAGGCAGTGAGAACCCAAAGATGAAAAAGATACAATCCAGGTCCTAAAAAAATCACCACCAGTATTATGAACATAAAAGACCATTAAAGATCATAAAAGTTATATTATTTTAAATAACCAAGACTCTGAGAATTATAGCAGATATAGGAAAAGCCCTCACAGAGCTTGAGTATAAAGTTTTCCTCTATTATGTTAGAATTTAGTGAGCAACATTTAAGAGGACTTAGTTACTAGAGTACTTCACTCTAAATAATGCAGAAATGTAAATTCTGAAGATGAAATTACAGTGAGATACTGGTAAATTCTTTCATATCTTCTATTTTTAAAAGCATCCTTAAAATTATTATACAGTATTCATCTAACATACATGTGATAACTATCTTACTGCTATGATTTAATCTCCCTTATGTCCTTCAGTGAACAACATCATTTTGCTAGTTCTTGTATTTTATTTTTGAAAATGGAATTAAAATCTGAAAGACAATTATGAAAACTATATAAAAAATGCCACTAACTAGAGACAACTACTGTTAACATTTTGGTGTATATACTTCCAATATCTAAGCAACTGAAGGACAAAGGCATTAACATTGTAACATGCACCTTCTTTTAGTGCAACCATACTACACCCTGCTTAAAGTATGGTTAACAATTTCAATGGATAACCACTTTATTGATCATTCATTCATTCATTCAACAAATATTTGAGTGCCTACTATGGTCAGGCACTGTCCTAGGGGCTGCAGATACAATGAACTGACATTTTAATGAAAAGAGACGAACAAGTAAATTACAGTGTATGGCAAATGCTGATATATCTTATGAAAAAAATAAATAAAGGGTACATGAGAGGAATTACTATTCCAAACAGGTAGGTCAAAGACCTTAAGAAAGCTAAGAACAAGGAAATCCGGGGAAAAGCCTTCCAAGCAGAGGGAACTGCAGTGAAAAAGGCCCTAAAGGAAGATTACACTTAGGAGATTCAAAGAAAAGCCAGGAGGCCAGAGTGGCTGAAAAGAGTTAGCAAGAGAGGGAAACAGCAGGAAATTAAGTTTAAAAAGCCAGGAATCATACAGGTCACTGTAAGAGAGATGGGAAGCTACTGGGGGTTGTAAGGAAAAAGAAAAAAAAGACGTAATCTGACTTACATTTTAAAAGGTTTCGGCTGCTGTGATGAGAATAAACTGTAGTCAAATGTAAAGCAGAGAAGCCATCGAGGGGGCTATAATAAAAATCTAGGAAAGAGAAGATGGTAGTTTGGACAAGAGTAGGAGCAAGAGAGATGGTAAAAAGTGGGGCAAATTCTCAATATATTTTTGGAATAAAAAGCGAATAAGAAATGCTAATGGATTTGACATGGGATGAACAAGATAAAGAGAAATCACTTGAAGATAGTTAACTCGAATTTTAAATGAGACAGTATATTGTAGGTTTTGTTCCAGGTACACTCAGCTGCAATGGATGGAGGTATTGAGCAGATGAGGATTTGCATTTAAGTAGAGCTGGGGTTTTCTCAATCATGTACAATTACTAAGAAGGGCAAGTAATTGAAGATAATAAATGTAAGGGAGTGATTATATTGATAGACCATGGAATTTAAGTTGGTAGGAGGGGGGTTCAGGAAAACGAAAAATTGGTAAGATCAACTGATGTTAAGGTCTTATGTGGGTTTAAAAATTACTGGAATTGGGTTACCAAAGGATGTGAGGTGGAAAGACAGGAAATAATAGACTGGGATACATGAAACTTATAACTGATATTATGAAGAGAGTATGGAAACTAATATTGACTAGGTCTCCAGAACAAATATGTTAGTGTAGGTGGGTGGCAAGATTATGGTAGATGAAGAATTCAAGGAACTGAGACACAAAAGTATTAGAAGGATAATCTGTATGTGTACTAAAATTACCAAGAATCATGATAGCAATAGTAGTGGAGTGACTGTGACCCAAAGCCAAAATCTTCAAGAAATTCAAGGCAGTGATTCAGGGGTTGGCTGATAACTCCAAGAAATATAAGTAGCAGGAGGTATAATCATATGGCTTGATATTCAAATCTAAGGGTTTTTAGGGAAGATGAAGGAGAATGTTCTGGAAAGAGCAATATGTAACAAGAAGGTAACTACCAGTTACCACTACTCCAGTACTAGTGATAAAGTAGATATAGAAGGGGACGACAACATTTGAAAGAGCTTCAGGGGACAGCAGCAGTGTCATTATGGGAGAGCTAAGTGACAGAAGTAGTTTTAAAACTTTTGTCAAGAAAGATGTTGAGGGCTTCCCTGGTGGTGCAGTGGTTGAGAGTCCGCCTGCCGATGCAGGGGATGTGGGTTCGTGCCCCGGTCCGGGAAGATCCTACGTGCCGCGTAGTGGCTGGGCCCGCGAGCCTTGGCCACTGAGCCTGCGCGTCTGGAGCCTGTGCTCCGCAACGGGAGAGGCCACAGCAGTGAGAGGCCTGCGTACCAAAAAAAAAAAAAAAAGAAAGATGTTGAGAATATGTACAAGAATTTTATCGACACCTTATTTGTAAGTTCCTGAAGGCCCAATGGAACGATCTCAGAAGTTAAGAAAGAACAGAAACTGGGGTCTGAAAAGTGAAGGACAGAACTGTATAGGATAAGAATGCACGAGGTAAATCAACTACATCAATGTCAAAGGCTTTCTTGTGTCCCTGACATAAATGGGGATAAAAAAACATGAAGATGAAAAAATTCTAAGACTGTGTTAGACAGACAAGAAAATCCAAATATTTCACTGTCAAAACCAACTGTGCAAAAAAAAAAAATCACTTAGCTCACTTACCCTGACCTGGAAATTAAAATGGAAAGAAAGAAAATAAGTTATGAAGATACTAAGTCTATCTGCCATGTTCTTAAAATCACATGGTACGTGAAATAGGAGTCTTAAGAGAAGCCAATTAACTTTGGCTAACAAGAATAATTTTGATAACAACTTGGAAAGCTGTTTGAAAGAGTAATATGTACAATTTTTAGTTTAATAAATTAAAAAAATACAAATTACAGTATTTCATATTTTATAATTTAGGTTTACAGCAAGAAAGAGATACTAACAAAAGTGCATTTCAGGGATTCATGGAATATTAACAATCCACTAAGAAGTAACATTTTCTCAGAAATGTAACTAATAATGATATTTTACAGAATGTTAGACCACCTTAAATGGCCTTTTATAATGTTTCACATAAACCTGTGAAAACATTATTCAATCTCAGTATGTAAAGAAATGCAAGTGAGAAAAATGAAGTACTGAGTTCACCTTTCAAAATGAAAAAAGAGAGAGAGAAAGAGAAAGAGAGAGAGAGAGAGAAGAAACCCGGTGCTGCTGAGAGCTGGTACTACGGGCTTTCTG